AAGGAAAAAATAAAACTACCTCTGTTTGCAGATGACATGATTGTCTACATAGAAAATCCCCAAGAATATACAGAAAGAAAACCCAAAAAACAAACACACAAACAAACAAAAAAACACCTCCTAGATCCAATAAATGAATTCTGTACGGTCAATGAATACAAGATCAATGTGCAAAAATCAACTGCATTTCCGTATACTGACAGCAAACAGGTAGAAATATAAATTTAACACATGCTACGTACTTACTAATTTGTTAATAAGTACAATGTGTTAATTGTTCTGGGATTGTTTTTGCAGGGTTTTTTGTTGTTGTTGTTTCTTTCTTCTTCTTCTTTTGCTTTCTTCCCTGTGGTTTGATGACTATCTTTATTGTTATGTTGGTTTCCTTTCTCTTGTTTGTGTGAGTATCTATTACAGATCTTTGGTTTGTGGTTACCATGAGGTTTATATATAGCGATATTTTATATATATATATGATTATTTAAGTTGCTAACTCTTGAGTTCAAATGCATTTTAACCCTCCATTTTTACAACCTGCCACACATGTGTTTATTGTTTTTGACATCATATTTTACATCTTTTTATTTTGTGTATCTCAAATATTTATTACAGATATAGATGATTTTATGACTCTTTAACCTTCCTACTAGATTCATAAATGATTAATTTACTACCTTTACTGTATATTTTGCCTTTACCAATGAGATTTTTCCTTTCATAATTTGTATATTTCTAGTTGTGGCCTGAACATCAGTTTAAATTTTATTTTGGTATCTCTACTCTTGGAAGTGGAACTTTGATACCCCCATATTCCAACATGACCTCATCTTCTTGGACAATATGTATATGACACCTGCTTCTGGAGCCTGACTCAGAGCCTTTGGGCTTGTACTTATACCCTTTCCTGATCGTCCTCAGTCCTGGAGAAAGACAGGAATTCCTACTAGTGCAAGGAGGCGTGAGAACATTGAGGATTTAGGATATTACTATAAATATGACCTTGCTATAGTCACTGAATTCACCATGGGTCTCCCCATGTTTACTTTAGGCTAATGGCCATATCTAGAATACAACCTAGAATACATCACCTACTGGCCAAAGGTACCACAGATTTCAGGCTAACCCTTCACATTCTGTACTAGACCTTGAGATACCACTCCAAAGGGAAAAGGAAGATTTTGAAAATATTTCTATGTCAGCATCAGTGACCTGGGTTAGGTGGAGGACAGGAGACCATTGTAGGGAAAGCACCAATAGAGACTGGACATATCACTCATAAAGTCTGCCACCTGCAGTATTCCTAGAGATCCTGGGAAAGATTACTTCTCTCTCAAATTTCCCTAGAACCTGAGAGGAGGTTATTTCACATTTAATTGGATCTTTTCCCTGAATCTCCACAGTCTCTCTGCTCCAGTGGGTATGATAGACCTGCCAAACAAGGTCTGCTGTCAAGTGAATTGACTCATTGCCTTTATGACTCTTCCCATTCTCCTGGCAATCTCCTCCATTCTGGAGACATGGAGGCAAGACAGGTAAACATTCACAACATTTCTCAGAGCATCGCAAGATTTAAAGTTTGAAAAGTCCTTCCTATGCTAATTGAAGAACCTTCACCCCCTAGTGTATAAATAGTTTCATGAGTTCCCCTCCTCTTCATTCTTTTGAAACTCTGGGTACTATGGCACCATAAGACAGAAGTCTATCAGATGCCTCTTTCAGCGGCAACTGACTGTCCAGTCCCTTTTGCCAAAGTTTGCAGGAATAAGTTCTCCTGCTCTCCAGGTTATGATTGCTCTGAGGACATACTAGTCCCTACCTCTGACATTTGCCCATTCTCTTGGTTTTAAGTGAGGTTTTCCTCACCCAACCTGGGAGGGTCACCACATCTATAGAGAAGATGTTGTGTGCGGAGCTGGAAGATGTGGGGCTAAAAGATGCTCCAAGATCTCTATTTTCCCTAGCTGTGCATCCTTACCAAGAGGAATGGAGGATGCTCTGGCGAATAGGAGCCATGGCAGCTCTGAAAGCTTAGGAGCCCTATGGTCTCTTATTTGGATAATAAACTGGCAAAAGCAAACCAGGTTTCTTTTCATGTCTTAAAATTCTAATTAACAAAGAGAAGTGCCAGCTTTTACCATCCACTAAGAAAGTTGTATTTTTCAGGAATTTGTGCTTTGTATAATAGTCCATCTCTATCTTGGCTAGCCTTTGTGCTTCACAGCAGTAGCCTAGTGGCTCTTAATCTGATGTCCCTGGATCATTTATGAAAGTTTTGAGCCTCCCAAGTTATCTGAAAAATTTCTACCTTTGTGTCTTTGTATATTTGAGAAGATAAAGTGTCCATATATTATAGTAAGATCTCAGAGGAACATGTAATAATGAATATCCATCAAGTTTGCAGTTCATCTGCTCCTTAACTGTCATGTCTTACTATTAAATCCTTGATTCATGGTTGGAATGTTCCAGTGGCACCATTTCTTCTCTGTCTCTGGTTCTGTCATTCATTCCCATTTTTGTCATATAATCTTGTTCTTTCTCAAACATTGCTTTGACTTAAACCACCTTTATATATCTACCTCTGAATAAAAGCTTACCCAGAACATTTATTTGTCACTCTTCTAGAGGGTGAAATATCAAAGGCGTTATAAAACAGAATGTATATGTATCTATATGGATGGAATTTCTTTGTTACCCTCTCTTCTTCCATATATTCAACAAGGCAGGTCTGGAGTCTGTGCCCTCAGATGCTGCCTCCTCCAGACTCCTGATCCTCACAGATGCTAAACATAAACAAATCAACAGAGAAAGACCTGCACCTAGTAGCTTAGACAAGCTCTAGCTTGTTTCAACGCTTATGCACACATCTGTATTCCAGGGGTAGATTGACTCAGGGAAAAGGCTTTGTAAAGTCATAAAGGTCTATAACATAGGCTAAAAAGAGCTACCTTTGGAATCTGGATCTGAAATTGTGTTGGAGGAGGTAACCAAGAGGACATGACCTCCAGTTGACCTGAGACCCAGACCTGGGCAATCAGAAGCTCTTCATGCCCTCCACTGTATTTGAAGTGTACGTCCTGCCCACTGTCTTCACACTGGGAGCTGTTTTCAAGGATACAGCCTTGACAGAACAATGTGTTGTTGAGAGCATCTGGAGAGTATACATGACTGAACCCAGTTAAGGCCTCTATATAAACTTATAAGATTTGGCAAGAGGGTGCAGAAATCTACTCATCTGGTAGCCATCCAAGACAAGCCTCCTAAGTAAGTTTCCTTGCTTGTTAAACCTGCCACCTACCAGTCTGGAGTGCTTTGCCTCTTTCTTCTGTCTCTCCTTGCCTTCCGTGTATGGGGGCCAGTTAGTGACACAACAGTTGGTGAGCCAGCCAGGAGACCAACATTATGGGCCTTGGGAAACTGACATCTATGGGGGAAATCCTGAGTTGGTCATCAACCTCTACATGCGGAGGGGTGGCTTCTGTGCTAGATGTGTGTGGACTGCCAAGTGAGTACAGGGATGCCCTGAAAATGCCAGCTGCTTTAATACATTTGTTTGAGAAACTACACATAGTGAGTGCACTGTGGCAAGGAAGAGAAATGAATGGCTGCTTCAGTGGGCTGCCTCTACTTGGGCAGTTAGGCTGGCCACCAATACCCAACTGGAAGCTGAAGCCTGAATTAGAAAGTTGCAACAGGAGGTGAAGTTAGAGAAGGATGTGCTGTTGTCCACTGCTCTGCTAGCTCAGGGCTGGCAGAAAGGTGGAAGAGCAGAATAATCAGTTGGAGACCTTGACGCACTGTTTTACAAAGGTAGGAGGGCACAATCTGCCACAGGTTAAGGTCCAAGTGCTTGTGACAAAGCCTGATTAAGATGTTAAGAGGTAAAATCCCTGGGAAAGTGAACAGAACAAGGGGAAGGATATTATGATGATTGACCATAAAGCAGACGGTGCTCCTCATGCCATCTGAGCCCCCATACAAAGGAAAATTTTAAATAACAATTACTCTAGACTTCCAATAATAGAGAAATATAGCCCAAAACACCTAGGAGAAAACTTGCATTCTTTCTCTGTCCCTCGAAGTTGTAAATCTTATCATGTCTTTAAAATATAAACACCCCAGGAGATAACTAAAACACTGCCCAACACAGTGGGCAAATACTGAAAGAAAGCCTGGGAAGGGGGACAGAATTTTTAAATTACAGACTGCTATAGAATCTCTCTTGCTCAAAATCTAATCCACAGCCTCCATAAGGTTATTCATCAAGGACAAATACAAATCTTAAAAGTCTTCCCCAAAAATACTAATAAAAAGCATCTGCCATTTAAGTGGGTACCTGATTCATGGCTAAAGTTTTTGAATAAAAACTGTGGGGTCTATGTTTAAATTTCTGTGTATGTTTACATATATCTATGGCTATATGTTATGTATATGTGGTATTTTTCTACCTCTGAAGGATATTGCCAAAATTATTTTTTAAGAGCTCTATTTAACTGACATAAAGAAAAAATGAAACTTGATGTCAATAATATACTTATATAAAACTGAAACTTCATTTTATTTCATCTACTAAAAAGACAAAATTTTCTTATATTATTGGTCAAATAAAAATTGATGCTAAACTTTCTTTAGGTTTATTTTATATAAATGTATGTTATTAACATAAATGTTCTTACAAAAGTGCTTCATCTTCAAGAGACTCATGAGAAAGATATCTTACAAATAAGGTTTCTGATAACTAAGATCATTTTGCTTTCACATGGACCTTTCAAGAACTTCCCCAAGGTTACCTGCACAGTTCCACAATATGTCATGGGATGATAATTCAAGATCTGTCCTTCCTTTTCTTCCTCACATCAGTAAAATGGGCCCATTACATTAATAATATAATGTTCACCTGAAGACTTGCCTCTGCTGCAGGACACTCTGTAGGCTTTGCTGAAACATCTGCAAGACAGAGGATAAGCAGTGAACCTGCAAAAATTCAATGCCTAGGCACTACCATGAAGTTTTGGAAGTTGTCTGGTCAGGTAAGATGTGCGCTGTCCCAGGAGCTGTAATTGATAAGATGCAAGCCTATCAAACTCCTAAGAATGTAAACGAGATGAAAAGCTTTGCAGGGATTTGGGGGTTTGGGAAGAGTTTTATTCCACCTGGCACAGCGCCTCTGTCCCTTATACTTCTTAGTAAAAAGAAGGCATATGGGGGGCTGGGGATCAGAGCAGCAAGCCACCTTTGAGAAGGCAAAAATACTAATGAAACAAATTAAAGCTCTGGGCATCACCCAAGCAGGGCTACCATTTGATTTAGATGTATCGGTGATTCTGGAAGGTGTGAGTTAGGCACTGTGGCAGAGACAAAAGAAGGAGAGAGTATAGTTAGGATTCTGGAAGGGGGCAGAAACCCGATAGACTCCCACAGAGCAACAGCCCCTAGCAGTGTACACAGCACTCCTCAAGGTACGGCATCTCACAAAGGAACAGCACATCATGGTAAGAACTTCCCTTCCTATCAGGGGGTGGATTAAAAATATGTTCCATCAACCCACCTCCGCCATGGCTCAAACCCCCACTCTAACTTAGCTGCAGCCTATTTGCAGCAAAGGAGCACCCTATCTGCCAGCCCACTGTCTCTAAAAATGTGGGCACTACTAGGCCTTGTAGAGTATGTAGATTCTCCAAATAGCACCCCTCTATTCCTGTGGTAGCCCCCTGAAGCCTATAAAAAGTGAATGAAAAACATTCCCTCTGGGGCTTCCCTGGTGGCGCAATGGTTGGGAGTCCGCCTGCCGATGCAGGGGACACGGGTTCGTGCCCCAGTCTGGGAAGATCCCACATGCCGCGGAGCGGCTGGGCCCGTGAGCCATGGCCACTGAGCCTGTGCGTCCGGAGCCTGTGGTCCGCAACGCAGAGAGCCCACAACAGTGAGAAGCCCGTGTACCGCAAAAAAAAAAAAAAAAAAACATTCCCTCTGTGTCTGGTATTCAGATGCCTGCAAACACAGAAGCCAGTGGGCTAGCCTCAAGCAGTTTGGCTGGCGGATCATTCATGAACTCGGGCCATTAACCCCTTGTACTGACTGCTGGGCTTTTCTAATGGGATTAACCCTATGGCTTGAACAATGGGGAGCCGAGGGGTGGACGATCATAAGTAAGCCCCTGGGAGTCAGGGTATGTGGAAAGACATTTGGGTTCACCTGCAAGAGCCTGAGGCCATCCTCACTGTCTTCCATGTTCCAGCTCATTAGACACTGACATCTCTTGGCAATCAGGAAGCTGTTGCCCTAGCTTAGGTACAAGCCCTACAAACTGACCCTTCAGTAGATACAGCGGATTGAGTGTACAAAAAGAGTGGCCACCGCAACACCTGGGTAGGATGACGTAGTGTCAAGGATGCCAGGTTGCCTTTAAAATATAGTGACTTGTTTAATACAGTAACGGCATGTTTTGTGTACTCTAAACAACATCCAAGGCAACTGCCAAAGTAGTCTGGAACCATCCAGCAGAGTTCCCAATTGGTGAGGGATTGACAGATTGATTATATTACCCCCTCCCTCTGAGTGAGGTTTCTAAGTATGCCTTGGTGAGTGTGTATACTGTGTCTGGCTTAACTCAAGCTCTTTCCTGTTGCCAAGCAAATCAGGCTACCACCATTAGGGGTTTAAAGAAGCTGAGAACCATGTAAAGGTACCCTCATCAAATAGACATTATTTAAGGGTCACATTTCAAAAGTCATGATATGCAAGACTGGGAAGAAGAACAAGACCTTAAATGGAGGTTCCATCTCCCCTATAACCTGCAAGCAGCAGGTTAATAAAAAAGAAAAATAGAATATTAAAACAGCAGGGCTTCCCTGGTGGCACAGTGGTTGAGAGTCCGCCTGCCGATGCAGGGGACACGGGTTCGTACCCCGGTCCGGGAAGATCCCACATGCCGCGGAGCGGCTGGGCCCACGAGCCATGGCCACTGAGCCTGCGCGTCCGGAGCCTGTGCTCCGCAACGGGAGAGGCCACAACAGTGAGAGGCCTGCGTATCGCAAACAAACAAACAAACAGAAAACAGCAGAGTAAATTACTAACAGGAAAACCCACCTTGGCTGGGTGGACCAAAGTCATGTCCCAGGCTTTCATACATTTGAATGATTAACCAGCAGGGCCTGTTGCCCTATGTGCCAGACTGGGGACCACTGCTGAGGCACTAAATATCGTAAGGGTATGGGAATCACAAGAAACAGCCATTGGATCAATGAGCTATGCTGCTGAGAACATCAAGCCCCGTCACGCCTAGGTAAGGAATTGTCTACTGAAATTTTCAGTGGGACATCCTGTCATCGGGCCCTTTCCAGATTCTTAGACAGCAATATCATAGAATTGAATATGGCCTCCACAAGATTCTTAGGCAAGCAGAGCTTTTTATTTAAAGAGATAACTTGCGCGGAAGAGCGAAGGCAGAAGAAAAGTGCCAGCTCCCCCCGTAGAAGGGCCGAGTTGCTTTTATAACAAAAGTGAGGTTTTGTCTCATTTCCAGAAATCATCAGACTTCTTTGATCTGCAGCAGGTGATCAAAGGGTGGCTATCAGGAATAGGGAGTGCTTCTGTGAGGGGAAAGAAATGCATGAGACTTTTCTGCAAGAAAGCACAGGAAGAGGTAAGTTTAAAATGTATAGTTGAGTTTTTTGTCTTGTGGCAACCAGGTATACTCATTAGTGTAACAGAGATAAAGCTAACTTTTTATTCCTAGTTTTTTATCTCTGGAACTCTGGCCCCCAGGGCCTTTGTTCCTTAGCTGGCAAGGCCTGTTTTGCTCAAGGCCGTTCCCTGGTCCTTTTCCAAAATGGCTGCATTCTTGTCTTCCTGTCTCAGTCCCGCCAGGATGGGTGAGATACTTCACACCCCTGGGTGAGGGAGAACTACTAGATCTCCATTGGGGCCCAACTGCCCTGCTACAAACTGGACTTGCTGAAACACACTGTAACTGGAACGGGATACACACCATTAAAAGAGGAGAAAAGGTAAGGGTTCTGGTGTGGCATATCCTACCCCCAGACCATGTCCTCATGCCTGACCGTGCTGCCTCACCCAGAGCACACCTGAGTCAAGTTCCTGAAGCTGCCAACCTCATTCTCCTCGAGGTCGGGTGGGCATGTTCTGTTTTCCATTAGTACGGTCAGTTTGGCTGTTGTCTTTGTTCCCTCCGTTGGCCTGGAGGACAATACAGCATATATAGAAGTCCTTACAAAGTTGACCCAGCAAGCCTTAAATGACAGCCAGCAAAGCCTGTCCTTATCAAACACTGAAATGCTCTCAATGGAGGAGAAAAGTTGCTCTCCAAAATAAAATAGCCTTGAACGTTATTATTGCCTCGCAAGAAGAAACCTGGTGCCATGATCCAAAAAGTGTTGTATGTTCAGAGCTGAATCTGCCAATGTTATCGTCTTTAAATCATATAAAAACACAAGTAAACGAACATCCTGAGTGATCGGACCCCCAGCCTAGGGGACTTAGTAAATCAGTGGTTTGGATCATGGGGCTCTTGGTGGAAAAAACTGTTACTTATTTTAGGAATCCTTATCTTGATCTGTGTTTTCTCTTACAGGTGCCCATATTGCTGCTGTGGTATCTGACTCTGGTGCAGCCAGATAACCGCCAAACGAGCCACCTCCACGCTGGTGAGACCCCTTGCTGACCACTCAGGGCACATCGTTGGAGAGGGGGCTCTGTGAAGTTGTAAGAGTCGATCACGAGGGGTAAAATGTTGGAGGAAATAACCAGAGCACATGACTGCCACTTGACCCAAGAACTGGACCCGGACAATCATAGGTGCCTCACCCCCTCCCTGTGCTCCCACAGTGGGAGCCATTTTCAAGTACACAGCCTTTGAGAGAGCAGTGTGTTCTTGAGACTGTCTGGACAGTATATGTGCCTAACCCAGTTAAGGCCCCTAAACAAACTCTTAAGATATGGCGGGTGAGGGCAAAAATCACTCACTTGTGGCCGCCCAAGGCAAGCCTCGTGAGTAAGTCGCCTTGCTTATTAAACCTGTCACGTACCCGTCTGGGGTGGTCTACCTCTTACTTTGGTCTCTCCTTGCCCTCCACGTACAGGGGCCACTTGTGAGCCAACAAATTGCTAGTAAAGAAGAGTTCATTTGCCTTGTTTATTCCATTGTCAATATTCCTCCTTGGGGCTTCCCTGGTGGCGCAGTGGTTGAGAGTCCGCCTGCCGATGCAGGGGACGTGGGTTCGTGCCCCGGTCCGGGAGGATCCCACATGCCGCGGAGCGGCTGGGCCCGTGAGCCATGGCCGCTGAGCCTGCGCGTCCGGAGCCTGTGCTCCGCAGCGGGAGAGGCCACAGCAGTGAGAGGCCCGCATACCGCAAAAAAAAAAAAAAAAAAAAAAAAAAAAAAAATTCCTCCTTAATGTGGCTGACTGAGGATCATCAAGGTGCTGTTTTGCCTCACCCAAATATCTTCTTGGTCTCATCTCAGCAACCCACACATTGACAGTATCAGGAGGGGAACATGGACAAAGAAAGGTTTTTGCTGGGAAGGAGCTTCTAATGCTGGTATAACCTTTTTCCCCCCATTTAGGTCTACACTAGTTACTCTTGATTTGAGCCACTCTCACCCCACCCCAGACCCATGCTCTGCCCTTCTCTGCTGCTCTGTGCCCTGGGACGCTGACTCCTGCAGACTGCATCAGCCAGCCTCTCTGGTATACAGTTGGACTCCATCAGTAGGAGGTGCTAAGGGGAGACCAGGCAGCAAGCAGAGGCCAGGGCATTTTCCCCCTCCTTCTCAGTTTCAGCGTCTCATCTCCAGCAGTAGCTTCATCCTTCCACAGTCACAGCTCCGCCTGGCGGCCCCTCCTTGGTGACTCCAGTTCTCACTGGGCTCTTGTAACAGTCCTTCCTCCCCTTGCTTCTTCACACTGCTTCTTCAGCTGAAACAGTGTCCCACTGTGACTGGCCTCGTGGTGACCCATCATGTTTAGTTTGTTGTTTCAACCCTGTCCCCATCTCTGTGAGTCAGTCCTTTCATTAAAGTCGCTTCTTTTAAACACTAGACTGATTCTATTTCCAGCCTGATATAAGAGCTCTCTTTCAAAATTTATTCTTGAACTTTGAAGTGTGAGGAGAGAGATGTGACCTGCCCTCTGTGTGTTAAAGCTCTTCAGACCACTGTAAAGTAATTTGGGGCTAATGCCTCAAGGTTAATACCACAGAGTGTATTACTTCTTCCATTCTGCTTGTATCAGTCTGGAACGTCTCATGGGCAGGGATGACTTGGGTTGGGTAGAATTTGTATCTTCCTGAGTCCCCGGACTACATAATACCAACTAATATCATCCTAATCCACCATTATTTTTAACAAATGCTTATTTATTTCTTCACGTCGTCTGGGCATATCTCCAAAGAGTGGCAGCCATGCAGTGTTAGCGTGGTGTCACAATATTAGGAACTGCATAACGGACCATGCATTCTGAGTGGTAAAGGGGATTTCCCTTTGAAAGAGACCATGCACGTAATTTGAACTTTAGCAGGTACAGAACTAAATCGGCAAAGTCAAAACAAGTTAGAAAGCTTCCCTAGAGGGACTTTAGCTATAAGGTGAAGACATCTTACATTTTAAGGAGAATTTCTAATCAATACACACATATCTGAGAAACTCTGTAAAGAAGAATATTTATTTTCTCAGCATATGTGGGGCTGGGGGTGGGGACAATGCTGATTGTCAAACAGAGAGCTTTCCTACTTCCTTTTTTTCTGTTTCTATAAAATCCCTGCTGAACCACAGTGCCCAATCCTGGCTTCACAGTCCATGGGGATAGACTGTGGATTCTGCTCTAGGAACTGAGCTGCACTTGTCACTGGGAGAACTTCTTGTCTCCAACCTTATGTTGCTGTGGCCATTGCTTCTGGTACTTGGTGGGTAGGATGCTGGAGCAGGATTTGGGGGCAGCCAGGGCAGAACCACCTGTGCCTGGGCATCACAGAACCTCTTCTTCTTCTGCTGGGATGAGTAGGAATGGACTTCAGCTTCTAACTCAGGACCAATAGGTAATATGCAGATGGGTACTGAGCAGAGCAGGGGTCTTAGGAAAAATAAAGTACTGTGAGTTTCTTTTCCAAATACTGATGCCTTCTCCCTCTGTTTAATAACCATTTCTACTTTGATCTCTAGGAAAATTGGAAAACTTCTTAAAAGGACATCAAAGGAATTTTCTGTTAGGGTAAATTCTATTTCTAGCCCATGTAAATCCTACTCTGCCCCCAACCCCACTTCCACTTCAAGCTACCATATTTTTGGCTAAGCTCTAACTTTCCTAGACTTAAATTTTGGAGAGGCTTCAAAGATGATGGGATGAGATTGTGGTTTTTGCTGATTAATGACTCTTGTATATGGATGCAAATGCAGTACTAGATCTAAACAGGGATAAAGGGAGAAACAGTGTCAACTAGATGTGAGAGGACACCTCCATTTCCTTCCTGGTCCTTCCTGGCTTGTGTGTTGCCACCAGGCAGGCAAAATGTCTCAAAAAAAAAAAAGTCTTAAAAAGAGAAGGTGAAAGAGGAGAAAATAAATCACAAAACTTCTGAGATTTTACCTACAAAATAACCAACTTCTGGTAAATGAGATGGACTGTGTTTATAAACTGTGGGTCTTACAAAACAAGTATTTGATTCTACGAGAGCGTTGCTTGTGAGTCAGGGAAGAAGGAAAGATGGAGGGGAAAAATAGGAGGGAAAATAAATAGAGGAACTGAGGGAGGGAGGATAGAAGGGAAGGGAGGATGAGGGTAGAGGGAAGAAGGGATAGAAAGAAAGGGAAAAAGAGAGTTGTTGGGAAGGTTCTTAGAGGGTTATAACTTTTTTAAAAAAGATCTTTATCCTGGTCCTGTGGTAACTCTCTGACTCTATTCTCTCACAGCTCCTCTCAGGGTGCAGTCAGGTGAGTTACTTGCTTTTTCGTTCTTTTCAGTCTCTGGGAATCATACTTATTCTTCCATGCAAGGAAGGTACCGCCTCTCTCAGCCTCCCAGGGATCAGGGCCTGGACTGGGGTAAAGAGAGCAGGAGGCCAGTGTCTCACCCTAGTTCCAGCCGGGGTAGGAATACTCCAGTGTCACATTCATCTTTGTTACCTGCCTGTTTGACGGGTGAAAGACCCTATCCTGACCCTCCAAGGCAATGAATTCTTTTCCCTTTACTATTAAACCCTGGGACAGGAAAGAAGTTAACTGTGAAGGAAAAGCAAACAATGCAAGGTACTGTTGGCAAAACGTTCTCCTGGTTCTGGCCACAGGAGCTCAACGGCCTCCACCAGAAGCACTGGAGGCAGTGATGGAAAAATATTTATAACAGAGAGAAAACCAGTGGGCAAGGGAGATGCTCTGAGTCGAACAAGAACTTCCCTCAATCTTTTATTTGGATTACAAACTATCTGTGCCTAACTTGTTTTCCTTTCTTTCTTTCTTTTTTTTAATTAGAATTCTAATGTAATGAAATAAAGCGGAAAGCTTTGTTTTATATTAGACTGGAAAGTTACATTTTCTTCCTGAATTATTCCTTTGAGAAAGTATTCATTATATTATAGGGAGGGGAAGTGATACTTATAAATCTAGTACTTGTATGTCTGATGATATAAATTACATTATATCTGACATAATTTTAAGCAAGAGTGTTCTTAACACATTAGAGGGTCTCTGAATCAGCCTCATAGGATCCAGTGAACTCCCTGAAGTCATGGTAAAAATGCGTGCATATGTACAATTGTACCTTCGTCTAAGGAAAGGGTCTGTAAGTAATATGTCAAAGTTAAAGGCCACTTATGGTCCAATCCTTGTTCCAGGCTCAGTGTAACCTGGAGTCATCCTTTCTTATTCTCCCTTGCCCTGTCATTATTACCAAGTTGGTCACATAAATCTTATTTCTCAAATATTTCTTTAATCAAATAGATTTCATCTCTATAATCTTTACTGGAAAACTTACCCAGTCTCAACGTGGAGGAAGAAATCTTTTGGCCTCCAGGAGGGCTTAAGATTTCTTTTTCTTTATCAGTATTTATGCCCCCCTCGCCCTCCACCCCAACCTCCTAGTCTAATGTTGGAACTTTCAAAGTGGCTAAAAGGTATAGCGTAGTTGTCTCTGAACTTATTTGATCACTTTGCTCTATCAAGAAAAAAATTTTCAGCATGTACTTTAAATGTATTACATAGATATAGATCCCTGTATTGATGGTGAATGTTGTAAAACATACACAAAAACAGAACATTTTGGGGCTTCCCTGGTGGTGCAGTTGTTAAGAATCCGCCTGCCAATGCAAGGGATACGGGTTCGAGCCCTGGGCCGGGAAGATCCCACATGCCACAGAGCAACTAAGCCCGTGTGCCACAACTACTGAGCCTGTGCTCTAGAGCCCCCAAGCCACAACTACTGAGCTCACGTGCCACAACTACTGAAGCTCACACGCCTAGAGCCCGAGCTCCACAACAAGAGAAGCCACTGCAATGAGAAGCCCACGCGCCACAACGAAGAGTACCCCCCGTTCACCGCAACTAGAGAAAGCCTGCGTTCAGCAACGAAGACTCAATGTAGCCCAAAAAATTAAATAAATTTACAAAGAAAACAGAAAATGTTTTGATGAGGAAAGATGAGGCAATGTTTAATATAATATGAAAGTTCTAAATGCTTTCTCTCCACCTCCTTATAGATCCCACTTTGCATGTTTTTAAAGTTGAAGTATAGTTGATTTATTATTTTCTGTCAGATTCTGCTTTTCAGCAGAGTGATTCAGTTATACATATATAACTGAATATATGTAACATATATGTTCTTTTTCATATTCTTTTTCATTATAGGTTATTACAATATATTGAATATAGTTCCCTATGCTATACAGTAGGACCTTGCTGTTTATCCATTTTATATATAATAGTTTGTATCTGCTAATCCCAAACTCCTAATTTATCCTTCTCCCCCTTTCCCCTTTGGTAACCATAAATTTGTTTTCTATGTCTGTGGGTCTGTTTCTATTTTGTAAATAAGTCCATTTGTATCATATTTTAGATTCCTCATATAAGTGATATCATATGATATTTGTCTCTCTCTGACTTACTTCACTTAGTATGATAATCTCTGGGTCCATCCATGCTGTTGCAAATGACATTATTTCACTCTTTTTTATGGCTGAGTAGTAGTATTCCATTGTATATGTTGTACTGTATATACGACATCTTTATCCATTCATCTGCCAATGGACATTTAGGTTGCTTCTGTGTCTTGGCTATTGTAAATAGTGCTGCTATGAACTTTGGGGTGCATGTATCTTTTTGAATTAGAGTTTCACAGATCCCACTTTGAAGATTGGATCTTGACACAATGAGAGAGCTGGCACTCCTTCCTTCCACCATAAATTTGTGGCTGGAGGGGTGAGCTGGGCAGACAGCCTAAGCAAACCCTCTCAAGTCCAGTCTCTTTCTCCATTCCATTCCTTCATGTCTGACATCACCTCTGTTTTACACTGAAGGGGAATGATCCAAAGTTCAGGCCTGGGATTAAGATTTTTTTTTTAACATCTTTATTGGAGTATAATTGCTTTACAATGGTGTGTTAGTTTCTGCTTTATAACAAAGTGAATCAGTTATACATATACACATGTTCTCATATCTCTTCCCTCCTGCGTCACCCTCCCTCCCTCCCTCTCTATCCCACCCCTCTAGATGGTCACAAACCACTGACCTGATCTCCCTGTGCTACGCGGCTGCTTCCCACTAGCTATCCACCTTACGCTTGGTAGTGTATATATGTCCATGCCACTCTCTCACCTCGTCACAGCCTCCCCTTCCCCCTCCCCATATCCTCAAGGCCATGCTCTAGTAGGTCTTTGTCTTTATTCCCGTCTTACCCCTAGGTTCTTCTTTTATTTTCTTAGATTCCATATATATGTGTTAGCATACGGTATTTGTTTTTCTCTTTCTGACTTACTTTGCTCTGTGTGACAGACTCTAGGTCCAGCCACCTCACCACAAATAACTCAATTTCATTTCTTTTTATGGCTGAGTAATATTCCATTGTATATATGTGCCACATCTTCTTTATCCATTCATCTGATGATGGACACTTAGGTTGTTTCCATCTCTGGGCTATTGTAAATAGAGCAGCAATGAACATTTTGGTACATGACTCTTTTTGAATTATGGTTTTCTCAGGGTATATGCCCAGTAGTGGGATTGCTGGGTCATATGGTAGTTCTATTTGTAGTTTTTTAAGAAATCATACTGTTCTCCATAGTGGCTGTATCAATTTACATTCCCACCAGCAGTGCAAGAGTGTTCCCTTTTCTCCACACCCTCTCCAGCATTTATTGTTTCTAGATTTTTTGATGATGGCCATTCTGACTGGTGTGAGATGATATCTCATTGTAGTTTTGATTTGCATTAATGACGTTGAGCATTCTTTCATGTGTTTATTGGCAATCTGTATATCTTCTTTGGAGAAATGTCTATTTAGATCTTCTGCCCATTTTTGGATTGGGTTGTTTGTTTTTTTGTTATTGAGCTGCATGAGCTGCTTGTAAATTTTGGAGATTAATCCTTTGTCAGTTGCTTCATTTGCAAATATTTTCTCCCATTCTGAGGGTTGTCTTTTGGTCTTGTTTATGGTTTCCTTTGCTGTGCAAAAGCTTTGAAGTTTCATTAGGTCCCATTTGTTTATTTTTGTTTTTATTTCCATTTCTCTAGGAGGTGGGTCAAAAAGGATCTTGCTGTGATTTATGTCATAGAGTGTTCTGCCTATGTTTTCCTCTAAGAGTTTGATAGTGTCTGGCATTACATTTAGGTCTTTAATCCGTTCTGAGTTTATTTTTGTGTATGGTGTTACGGAGTGTTCTAATTTCATAATTTTACATGTACCTGTCCAGTTTTCCCAGCACCACTTATTGAAGAGGCTGTCTTTTCTCCATTGTATATTCTTGCCTCCTTTATCAAAGATAAGGTGACCATATGTGTGTGGGTTTATCTCTGGGCTTTCTATCCTGTTCCATTGATCTATATTTCTGTTTTTATGTCAGTACCATACCGTCTTGATTACTGTAGCTTTGTAGTATAGTCTGAAGTCAGGGAGCCTGATTCCTCCAGCTCCATTGGATTAAGATTTTTATCAGAGCAACAAACAGTTTCTCTGCAATTCATCCCAATGTGCTACAATTCCAAATTGATTTTTAATAATTTCTAGCTCCATTGCCAACTGAAAAATTTCCCCCCAAAAAGCCCAAGCTGTAGGGCTGGGTCACAGAACAGTGTGGTGGCTGGCTACTCCTTCTTCAAGGATGGCCACACCCTGAGGTCAGACTGGAGCTCACAGAGTTTTGGATCTCATCAATACGGAAGGAAGACTCAGGATATTACTGGTGTGAAGCGATGACAGCATCTCACAGTATCTCAAAACAGAGCCACCAATCCTATATACAAGTGTAGATTAAGCTTCAGTGCTGGACTGCCAGGCTGGGTGGCACAGAGAAGAACAGTAGCTCCCATTCAGACCTGTGTTTGTCTTTTCAACTGTGCTTCCCCCCATCCCCGTGTGTGTGGGGGCTACAATGACCCATCTGGGTTCTGCTTTATTAACTGCTACCATGGCACCATTTCCCAATAGCTTTGCTCTCCCTGTCAGAAAATAATCCCTCTCTGGAGCATTTATGTATGCCTAGCACTGAAGTATGCTCAGTGAACCAAGAGATAAATAAATCATGGTCTCTGTCTGCAGAGAATGACTCCCAACTAGGAGGCACATTTAACCCAGGTAGAGCAATGAAGGAACAAAGTGATGATGGTGATAATGATGATGAGATGATGATGATGATGATGATGATGATGATGATGATGATGATGATAGAAACAACAATAAGGATCCCCAGCATTTATAATAAGTTTACTAAATGCTAAGCCTGAACCCAAGCTGTTGTACTCAATTCAGAACCCCTCTGATGCTCAGAAATATTTGCAGAGGGGAAGACTTGTAGAAAGTTTACCAAGTACTAGGAAGGCACTGCTCAGAGCAGTTTTATGTTTAGTCCTCACAGCAACCCTGTGAAGTAGGGTGAAAGTATCTGTAAAATGGATACTACTGTCATCCCCATTTTACACATGAGGAATTGAAAGCACAGAGCTGTTAAATGGCCTGACCAAGGGAACCCAGCAAACAAATGGCACAGCTGGAATTTAAACCCAGGCACTCTGGTACCAGTGGTTGCCCTTTTAACCATCTTGCTACGTTTCCTACCTCAGCCAGGCCCGTGGAGGGTGGTACCAGTAATAGCTACCATTTGCTGGACATCTCCCGTGTAATGGGTGCTTTATACATCTTGTATCTTGTTTCATCTTCATGAGAACTCTATAAAGTTGGTATGATTATCCACACTTTATCTTTGAGAAAACTGAGGATCAGAGAGATTAATTTATCTACCAAGATCATGCAATGAATAAGTGGCAGAGGTGGGTGGGGACTCCCCCTGTCCCCCTCCCACCATACCCACTGCCCCAAGTTTATCTGGAGATCAGGAAGGAGCAAGATCACTGTAGGCTGTGGGCATTAGTGAAGGCTAATGAGTGTGGAGAAAGTGCAAGTTTGAAGTTTTGGAGTGTTCAGTAGCAGGGTGATCCTTCCTGAAGGCCCTCAGCATGCACCTCCCCGATGAAAAATACGCCTCTGCCTAAACCTTCTACCATCTCCACCTGCCATAATGCTCAGCAGGTAGTAACAGCCTCCGCATCAGGCCCTCACCTGCCCTCTTACGTTTACACAGGAATCCCCATGTCTGGAGCATTCCTGGAGACCCAGCCCCAGGGAGACCAGGCAGTCGAAGGGAAGATGCTGGTCCTTGTCTTCTCTGTGGCTGAAGGCACAGGGGACATCATGTTCTCCTGGCACAGAGAGGACACGAGGGAGAGTCTGGGGCAGAAAAGTCAGCGTTCCCAGAGAGCAGAGCTGGAGATCCCTGTTATCAGGGAGAGCCACGCAGGGGGCTACTACTGCACAGCTGACAATGGCTACGGCCTCATCCAGAGCGAGGCGGTGAACGTCTCCATGAGAAGTAAGTAGCACTCTCCTAATTAGCCAGAGAGTCCCAACTGGGGTCAGTTTCCTTCTGTGGCAGTGAGGATGTTCCAAGGATGATACGGAACAGGGTTGTGAAGAGGTTAAGAAGCCATCTGAACATGCTAGGATTGTTACTGTAATGGTGTTGGCGGCGGTGGCACTGGCTACAGTGGCAGAAGAGCTAAAGGAGATGACAAGGGGATACAGGAGGCAGGCTACGTGGCACGGCCAGAGGCACGCTCTCCAGAACTTATCAAAGCTCTACGGGAACTGTCTCTGCAGTGTTGTTAGATCAGGAGGTGCGACAGTGAGAAAGAATCCCCGGGACTCGAGGGATACTGTGTGGACAGTTGGGTGAGGATGGAGTGGGTTATAAGTCTGTGCTGGCACGAGAGACCCTCTTTGATGGACCGTCCTGCCTTTATCAGTTCCAGTGTCACATCCTGTCCTCACTTTCAGTACTTCTGGGGCCCAGGCCTTCACTGGGGACATGGTGGAGCTTTGCTGTGGGAACAAGAGAGCATCTCCCCCCATCCTATACCGGTTTTATCATGAAAATGTCACCCTGGGGAGCACCTCGGTGCCTTTTGGAGGAGGAGCATCCTTCAACCTCTCTCTGACCACAGGGCATTCTGGGAACCATGCCTGCGAAGCTGACAGTGGCCTGGGGGCCCAACGTCACGGGAAGGACAAGTCCAACATCTCCTTCCACAGTACTAGTTGCCATTATGCCAAACCATGGCTTGTGCGTCCTTTCCATGGATTTTCTTCTCCCTCAGGGAATCGAAGCTAGCCTAAAGAGCCTGTCAGCTCTTCCAGTCTCTCCTTCTCATTGGTCTAAACAACAGCATCACTGGCCTTCCTGTTTCCCTGTCACTTACCTCATCAGATAGGTGTGAAATAGGTACTGTACTAGGATCAAGGCAGTACTGGAAGTGGGGTAAGTGTATGCTCAGAGCTCTCAGTGAGCAAGGAGTTACAACCAAACCTTGTAAATACTTAAGGAAAAAGTAGAAACCCCAGGAACAAACCAGATTCTAGGATTCCAAACGATACTAGGATTATCTCATTTAATCTCCATTAACAACTCTCATTTTACTAATGAGGAAACGAAATTTAGAATAAGTAACTTGCCCACCGTCACACAGCTAATAGGTGCAAAGATAGAACTTTAGGCTAGGGCTACAGAATTGAAAAACTTTGCTCCCTGCCACTATTTTAATATGATGGTTATATAATTTTTTTCCTTTTAATTTATTATTGTGGAGCAGTGCATTAATAGATTCCTAATATGGAACAATTATTGAATTCCTGCTATAAACCCTTCTTAGTTGTTATATCATCATAGGTAGCAGCTACATACAACTTACTAATATTTATTTCAAATGTTTGCATCTTTATTTAAAAGTGAGTTTTATTTTTTGAACTAGTTTTGGTTTCAGGGATAGGTTAGCCTCATAAGAATGTTTTCAGAGGTTTTCCATATTTTCTGTGCCCTGCAGCTTAAAACCGTATTGGAATTATCTGCTATTTGATAAGTCTTTGGAACTAGCCCAAACAACATTCTGAGCCTGTTAGATCTTTACCTCCATTGTCAAATCCTCTTTTTTATTATTCTCCAAATTTTCTATCCTTTGTTAAAATAATTTGGATGATTTTACCCAAATTTAATACATAGTATTCTCATCGAATTTTCAGACAGCCTTTATAGATGTGATTATGCGCTCTTCTCATTTCTGGTTTGTGTGACCCCTTTCTTAACCATATTTGCCAGAGGTTTGTCTTTATTCCTCTTTTTAAAGAGCCAGGGTTTTTTTGTTTTTGTTTTTGTTTTTTGTGGTACGCGGGCCTCTCACTGTTGTGGCCTTTCCTGTTGAGGAGCACAGGCTCCGGACGCGCAGGCTCAGCGGCCATGGCTCACGGGCCCAGCCGCTCCGCGGCATGTGGGATCTTTTCGGACTGGGTCACGAACCTGTGTCCCCTGCATCGGCAGGCGGACTCTCAACCACTGCGCCACCAGGGAAGCCCTAGGTTTGTTATCTTTAATTCAAATCTATTTGGTTTTTGGTTTTCTAATTCATTTATTTCTCCTTTATCTTCAGTATATCTTTCTTCCTTTTTAAGTTTATGTGGTTCTTTAAAGTCTTATTCATTTTTCATCTTTGTTTCCTAATAAGTGCATTAAAAACTGCATGGTTTCTTCTCAGTACCATTTTATCTCATCCTACAAGTTTTGATGTATAATATTTTTATTTGTCTAATTTCCAAAGCATGTGAAATATGTTTCACATATTTATTTTATAACTTGAGACAACCATTTCTTATGAATACATTTTATCTTCTATTTTATTAATTTCTTATAGATTTCTTTTTTTTAAACTTTTCATTATAGATTTTTTTTATTATCCTTGTATTAAATTTTATCAAAGAATATGGTCTGCATAGTTTTTACACTGGGGATTTACTGAGAATTTCTTTATGACCTAACACACAGTCAACAGTTTTCTAAATACTATAAATGGAATTTGAAAAGAATGTGAATTTTCTGTTTAGGATATACAAAGTTCAGTATTTATTTTTTTATTAAATTAAGCTAGCTGCTTGATCTATTCAGTTTCTATAGAGTCTTACATATGTTTGCTCTTTTTAATCTATTAATTTTTGAGAATCATATTCACATTATTACCTATAATTCTTTTAAATTTAGCTTTTTACAGAGGCTTTGCCAAGAACTTGGTAATTGACTGTGTAAGATGTGACATTTTGGTTGTTAATGACAGAAATCCCATACAAAAGGGCTTGGTCCCAAAAAAAAAAGAAATGAAGTTGGTGGCAGGGGTCAGGTATGGACATGGCTAATGTGCGACTGGCCGAGCATTCTGTCTTTGCCTCCCCTCTTTCCTCTGCATTTCTCCACTAGCTTAACTCTCAGACAGGCAAAGCTGGCCACTGACATCTCCAGGCTTATATCCCTCCTTTCTGCTAGATACCCTAGAGAAAAGAGTCTCTTTACACATTACTCCAGTGTAAAAAACAAAAACCAAATAAATAGACAGACGGCTTCCCTGGTGGCGCAGTGGTTGAGAGTCCGCCTGCCGATGCAGGGGACACGGGTTCGTGCCGTGGTCCAGGAAGATCCCACATGCCGCGGAGCGGCTGGGCCCGTGAGCCATGGCCGCTGAGCCTGCGCGTCCGGAGCCTGTGCTCTGCAACGGGAGAGGCCACAACAGTGAGAGGCCAGCGTACTGCAACAACAACAACAACAAAAAATAGGCAAATATTAGGGATTGACCAGTCTGTGTGATGTGTTCACCCCTTTCTCTCTGCAGAGAATATGAGCCTGTGATTGGTGAAGTCAGTAATAGAGTGGAGCAAAAGGAAACTGAGTAACTCAACTGACCTATTCTAGGCCTTTCCCTATTCTAAGCCTCGGTGTCCATTTCTGGGAAAGATCTAGTTCTAACCTTCTCTTTTTCTAAGGTCTTTCTCAGCTCATAAGAATCAAACCATAAGTCTCTATGTGCCCATATTCCTTTGTTTTCAGAAAGCAAAAACTTTTCCTAGGTGTCTTTGAGTGAGGGCCTTAGGTGGGGTGAGATGCTCTTAGGAGATGGTAATAGCATAGGATAGAGCAAAGCTCTGTGGTTCCCAACTCAGCAAGCCCCCTACCCCCACACCACATATCACCACCACTATCAAACAACCTCTCTTAACACTGGGAACTGCCCTAAGAGGACATTTCTTTTTTTTTTTTAATTATTTATTTATTTATTTATTTATTTTTGGCTGCGTTGGGTCTTCGTTGCTTCGTGAGGGCTTTCTCTAGTTGCGGTGTGCAGACTTCTCATTGCGGTGGCTTCTCTTGTTGCAGAGCACGGGCTCTAGGCGCGCAGGCTTTAGTAGTTTTGGCACATGGGCTCAGTAGTTGTAGCTCACGGGCTCTAGAGCGTGGGCTCAGTAGTTGTGGCGCCCGGGCTTAGTTGCTCCATGGCATGTGGGATCTTCCCGAACCAGGGCTCGAACCCGTGTCCCCTGCATTGGCAGGCGGATTCTTAACCACTGCGCCACCAGGGAAGCCCAAGAGGACATTTCTCAGTGTGCTCTGACCCCTTCTGTTTACAGAACATCCACCTAAAATCCGCTTGGTGAATGGTGCCCACCACTGCAATGGGCGGGTGGAGGTGGAAAAGGAAGGTCGCTGGGGCACTGTGTGTGATGACGGCTGGGACATGAAGGATGTGGCTGTGGTGTGCCAGAAGCTGGGCTGTGGAGCAGCCAGACACACACCTGCAGGCATGTTGTATCTGCCAGTGACAGAAGAGGACTGACCTGTATTTATTCAGGTAGCCCTGTGCAATGGGACAGAAGAGGCCCTGGCTGAATGTGAACAGATGGAGACCTTTGACTGTGGGCACGATGAGGATGCAGGCGTAGTGTGTGAAGGTGGGTGATGGCAGGGCCTGGGGCATGGGAACTGGCTTACCCCCCTCCGAGGCCCTTCTCTATGCTGCCTCCAATCCACCTTGATACTCCCCATTGCCCCTGCTGCCTTTAGAACCACTCACCCATTCTATACTAGCATGTGGTCAGGACAACACTGTTAGTTCATATTAGGTAGTCCAGAATTATAAAGGACTCTCTTATGCATGCTATTATTAGCCTGTATCTGCCACCTCAAAAGATAAGATGTTGGCATTTTCACAGCCATGAGTTTGGCCATAATCCCAGGAAAATAATTATGAAAGCATAGAATTACACAGTTGAGTGATTTTAATCCAGGTCACACTGCTTATATTGTTCTGTAATCCCAGCAGCTCTTCTGCCTTCTGTCCCCTAAACAACTCTACTCATCAAAATGAATCCCAGAATAGAAGGAGCACAGGGTGGGGAAGATCCAGATGCTCCTTCTCTCTCAAGATCCTGATGGGACAGGGGCTGCGGGATGGGAAGGACATTGGAAAGACTCTGGGTCCGTCAAGGAAACCAGGCCACAAACTGAGGGTGGAAGTAAAATAAAGAAAGCCCACTGCAGATCCCAAAGCCTCTATAACACTTGTGACTAGAGCAGAAGCCAGTGGGACTGCTCCCTCAGGCCCAGCCGCAGACCCTATCTCTGGCGGAGCACCCCAGTGCCCTGGGCCAGGAGTGCAGAAGCAGCCCTTGAGAGGTGGTGAAAAGAAGGGTATTTAGAACTATTGAGCCCATGCCCAGTTTTAGGAGCATCTAAAGGCCTGTGGCTCATTCAGGGAAATGAATCAGCTTTGGAAACCAGAAAGGTTCCAGGATTTATAGTCAGCTATGCAGAGCTTGAGACCTGCCTGCTTCACCCACTTACCAGCCATAGAAGCAGCAAACTTCTCTGAAGCTCATTATCTCTGTCAGAAAAGTGAGATAATACCTGGCCCAGCTTCCTGACAGAGCTGGGACAAGATTGAACACTCATCACTCATAAAGACCTTTTGGAAACAGCAAAGTCCAGGAAGAAGCCCCAGGGCCAGCTTACTGATTTGGGATGGTCTCCATGAGAGGGACAGGTCTGGGGCTCAGGTTTGGCCTTCTTCCTTATACTGGGCTTCACCTCACCAGGGAGACACGGTGAGTTTGTCTGGAAAATCCCTTTTCAGATCTCCCTCTTCTGACCTCCATTTTCCCTTTTCTCTACAGCATTCTGGCCTAGTTCTTTTTGAAGATAGGGAGACTAGAGACTGGAGACTGAGCAGGCCTCAGATTCTCTCCTTTTTGGCCTCCCAGGCCTGGTTGGTCCAACAGTTCTGGACAGACCTTAATGCTTTACCTGCGGCTCCATTGCGGCTCCCCTCAACAGGACTCTAAATTGCTCTTCTGAGCCAAAGTTTCAACTGTGCCTGCATCTGGGGCAAAATCCAGCTCCCAAAGAAGCCAAGCTTGAAGAAATTCTCCCTCCATACTGACTCCTTGGCCCCGGCCCTGGCTTTTCCAGTCTCTTCCAGAACTGTCTGGGGATCCCAATACTACTTTCTTGGGCAGATGTAGCTGCTCCTGAGATGAAACAAACAAGGAATTAATTGAGATGGGCCCTACATCTGTTGGTAGACTTGTGGGCATATAAAACAGACAAAATAAAAGAAAGTGTAGGGACTTCCCTGGTGGCGCAGTGGTTAAGAATCCGCCTGCCAATGCAGGGGACATGGGTTCGAGCCCTGGTCCGGGAAGATCCCACATGCCACGGAGCACCTAAGTCCATGCACCACAACTACTGAGCCTGAGCTCTAGAGCCTGCGCACCGCAACTACTGAAGGCTGCGTGCCTAGAACCTGTGCTCCGCAACAAGAGAAGCCACCACAATGAGAAGCCCATGCACTGCAACAAAGAGTAGACACCGCTTGCCGCAACTAGAGAAAGCCCATGTGCAGCAACAAAGATCCAATGCAGCCAAGAATTAAAAATAAATAAAAATAAAGAAATTTTTAAAAATAAAGAAAGAAAAGAAAAGAAAATATGGGTACAGTATTTAATTTTGTTTCCAAGTGACTTGGGAAGAAACTAGGTCCTAAATAATTTCTTTTTAAAATATTTTCTTAAATTACAAATATAAAGCATATTATAAAAAGAATAGTATGCAAAAAAGAAAATGAAAATTAGCCAAAATTTTAATACTCAGAAGTAACTGCTGTTAATATTCTGATGATTCTAAAATGTTCTGTGAATATATAAATATATATGAATGAGTGTATTTGTTTGTGTATTTTATACATATGTGTGTGTGTGTGTGTGTGTGTGTGTGTGTGTTTTCACAAAAACTGACCTCTCAGGAGAATCTTGTCCTACCCGGTTACGTGGACATTTTCTTGCCCTTTTGGAAGTCTGAGATCTTCTGCCTGCATTCAGTAGATATTCTGTGAGAATCATTCCACATGTATCAGTAGATGTATTTTTGATGTATTTGTGGGAGGAGGTGAGCTTCATGTCCTACTACTTAACCATCTTGATCGCTCCCCTCAGGAGAATGTTGATTCATAAGATCTTTTGTTCTGCTGAGTATCTTGATTGGGTTTGGGTGTGCAAACTGAAGAAAAGGAAAAAGCCACGTGCTCCATGATGTAACCTATCCTGTGAGCCCCCCAAAACTTCAGTAGTGTCTAAGTCTCAAAAAATATTTGAATGGGTGTTTTCTTTTAGAAATTTGTACCTTAGTTTTGAATCTTAGTGGATATGGGAAGAAGAAAACTGAAAATATATATTCCTTCATTAACAGTTTTCCTGATGATGAATAATTATCGCAATCTTACCTGGCTATGACATATATTAATATCCTACGGAATCCAATTTGATAGTATTGATATCTTATGTAAAACTTTTGCATAGATATTCATAATGAGGATTTCTCTGTAGCTTTTTATGCTTTCTTTGAAAAGCTTTGATCAATGCTGTGTTGGTTTCTTTTTTTTTAATTTAATTTTATTTGTTTTTTTATACAGCAGGTTCTTATTAGTTTTCCATTTTATACATATTAGGGTTTCTTATTATTTTGGAAGTTTTCTTTCTCTGTGATTGCTCAAAAAATGTTTAAATACTACTAAATTTATCTTTTCTTTGAAGACTAATAAATAGTAGTGTGTGAAACCATCTGGCTTGATATGTTTGTAACGTGTGGCTCCTAACAATGTTCTCATTGTTTTTCATGATTATTGTTCTGTTTATTTAACTGCCTCTATCTGCAAAAAAAAAAAAAAAGGTAATTTCTACTTTTTAGAAAGTCATCCATTTAATGCAGGTTTTCAAAAGTTGTATATTTACTCATTGTCCCCTCTTTCTTGATCAGTCTATTCAGTGGTGTATCTATTTTTCATAGAAAAGCTTTTGAGTTTATTCACATATTCTGTTGGGGTTTTTCTGTTTGTTTTATTCAGTAATGTTTGCTTTTATCTTAATTAGTTTTGTTGATATTTTCCTGTTCTTAATTTCAATGCTTAGTTCATTTATTTTCATTTTTCCTTGTTGGTACTCTTTCCAATTGTTTAAAGACGAGTTTTAATCATATTCCTTAAGTTTTGATAGGTAGTGTTTTGATTATAATTATTTTCAAGTCTGTAATATCAGTTTTATTTTCTTCTTTGACCTTGAAATTTATTTAAAAGAGGAATTTTTTAATTGCCTGATGAAAGGATTTTTCCCATAATTTTGTGATTTTTAAAATAATTTGATTGCTTTTATAATTTTTAAAGGTTTTCTTTGTGACCTAAAATATGGTCAATTTTGGTAGATCATCTATGAGTACTTAAAAGAAAGTGAATTCTCTGTTACCAGAATTGGGAGTTCAATATATATTCATTAGTCACTTATTAATCATATATCATTTGAATCATATGCACCCTTATTTTTTATCTACTTGATCTGCTGTGGGTCTACAGGCATCATTTGTTTTTGTCATTGTGATTAAGTTTATTTCTCCTTCCATTTCCTGCAGTCCATGTGTCAAGTATTTTGATGGCATGGTATTTAATTCCAAAGATTTATGAGGCTTAGAGCTTTCTCATATATTTTAGCCTTTTCCACTCTCATCCAGTGCTTTTTGGCTTCATATGTCTTTGTCCAATCTTTCACTTCTAACTTTCTGAGCAACTTTCCTTTAGATGTCTCTTATATGTACCATATAGGGTTTTTTTTTGGTTTTGGTTTTGGTTTTTCATTTATTTTATCCAAGTATAATTGATTTACAGTGTTGTGTTAATGTAACATACAGTTTTTTGGTTTTGTACTGAATACAACATTTATTTTATTAGCAGTTTGCTTTTTTATTCTATATTTTCTCTTCTTATTACTTCCTTCATTTTTTGGTGTGTTTTGTTTTCCTTCGTCTCTATTTTGTCACCTCTGGTGCCTAGTTAATCACACTCCTCAGCTCATGCTCACTCCCACTGTGGGCCCATACCTATTTTCTCCAGTTTTCTTTACTTACGGCCTTGTATCTTTAGTGGCTATTCTCATTCCTTGGCCTCCAATCATTCTAATATGTTTGATGTATTTCCTTCACTTACATGTGTTGAATATTATTTTTGGTGAGCCTAAATTTTTTATTTACCTATGGTATTGCTCTGTTTTTCACTTGGTGCTATTTTTTGATCCATCCATGCTGTTGTGTGTACATCTAGTTCATTGTTCCTAACTTCTGCACATTATTTCACCACACTTTCCTTATCTAATCCCCCAGTGATGGACACCTAGATTATCTCCAACTTGTCACTACTGCAAACACTGACAAACTTCCTTTTTCATGTCCCACCAAGAACCTGTGTGAGAATTTCTCTGAATATATATCCAGGAGTGGGATTAATGCAACAAGTACTGCCAAGTGGTCCCCCAGATTGCTACTGCCTCTATCAGTGCATGACCATCCCCTAACCTGACATCCCAAGTAACACTTGGCATTAGTTAGTGCTTCAATTTTGCCAACCCAGTGGGCATAAAGAGA